TTCTGATTGGTTATCAGCAGATTTGTCACTGATTTTTGTCATGTGTCATTGAAAAAAAGGCTTTGTGAAACGGGTACCTGGTATTCAAACAAACCATTGAGTCATAGCACAACCGGTGATAGTTGTAGACAACTCATGCTCTAGTTTTGAGTCATCCGCTTACGCTAAACCCTGGAAAAAGTATGGCGCATCCCGGAATTGATAGACAAGGGCGAATATGGGGATGGGGCTAGACCCCCCCCCCCCCCCTCAGATCGTAATACGAGGTCGTGTGCTATAGACCATGTGCAAATATAATTGATTTCATGTTCCTGGTTATTCAAATAACGGTTGTACTGTGTGTTACATGCCCCGTGCAAGTCTCATTGATTCTATTTTTCTAGGCCTTCGGAGGACGAGGCGAAGGGGGGGGGGGGGGGGGGGGCGGATACGCCACTTAAGAAGCAACCATTTCGAGGCTAAATGCTAGACGCCTTTCCTTAAACTTTATTGATTGAAGCCCTGCGTGCCAGATATGTGTGCTAAATAAGACAAGGTTTATACTCGTGTTTGTCAATTGTAAATCTTCAGATCTGTTTCTCCAGCAGACATATACTTTATAGAGAATGCAAAGGTCGGTGTTTCGAATGAAGCATGGGAGGATGATATACATGGTTTTGATTAAAGGTCAAGAAAAGGCCATGGAAATATCCTTCCTGCGAATGTTCTAGACTGAACTTACGCCTCCTCGGCCTAGTTCGGAGATTTTTTCTTTCTTTGAAGATGACATTATGCGTTCGGCAAGCAATCTATTCCGACCATTTCTTTTCTCTTCCGAAACGTGGAGCACCTAGGACTACATGAGCGGAATTTTCAAAGTACAAATATAAAGAATAAATATTTATTCTTTATAATACAGAGAAATGCAGAGGTTTACTTAAAAACTACTACACGTACAGTTTAACAACACAATTATTCAAACCCTTACCGAGTTTTGTATCTTGTGTAAGCACGTGAATTTAAAAAAAAAAAAAAAAAAAAAAAAAAATATAATAATTTTTCCAGATTCATGTTTCTTGAGAATGTGACATATCACAGCTTACACCTAAAATTATTCAACCAGTCCTCCTATCATTCTTGAGTTACGAAAATCCCACACAAACATCAAATTTACAAGGAATAGGAACCATTCGGTTGATAACTGTGTGTACAGCAGGATGGCTGGTATCAAGGCAATGTTTAAGTTGCTGAGAACAAAATCTGACGTCGAGGGAATTGCGGTATTGCTAGGTAACTCCCTTATCAAATTCATCTCGAGATATGTAACAAGATGAATTCATTCGTTTCATACAGGCCTATACTTTCCTATAATCTTCAGTACGATATTGCCATATTGCATCATTCCTTATCTTTATATCGCTGTATCGTAAATGGCGCCTGAACTGTTTTATACCACGAACTTCTGGTTTGTGTAACGTTGGAATTTCTTTGGATAATTCTGCCCAACTGTCTGTGCTCAATCTAAAGATATATTCTCCTGGGATTGGGGGAAGGAAGGGTACTTTAAGCTGGATTATTCCAGATGGTTAAAAGGGTATGTGAGGAATACATCTATTTAGTGAATAGCGCAACGTCAGGTCCTCCATTCAGAGGGTTTTGGTATTATTGAAGGTGGGGGGGGGGGGGGGGGCTGAAGGCGAAGAAAAAAGCATTGGCAATCCAGTGAAGATGTGAAAGATGTGTGTGTGTGTGGGGGGAGGCTCGTATCACTATTTTGTTTAACGCTACCACTCTACCCCTCCTGTCCTTATCCTTCTTTTTCACTTTTCCTTACATTCGTCATTCGATTGTGGGGGGGGGGGGGGTGCCCCAGTGTCCCTGCAGCTATGCCTCTGCTTCTACTGTTTCCCTGCATGTAGTGTACTTCAGCGCTGTGTAGGACGTAGTTAACGTGAGCCATGTAAACAAAAGAAAAAAACAAAACACAAAGAAATGGAGGATAAAACTTGCGTGAGAAATTTTTCACCCTGATATTCAAACATGCATATGCAGAATACATTAAATGCATAGTATATTTAGATCCAAAACAGAAATTTCTGGTGATAATTTCATATCATATCTCATGTTTTCATGCTTTGCACTGATGTTTAGTGTTCGATTGTTTGCTTCGTGGAGCACATCCTTATACATAGCGTTCTTTGATATAAATTACATGTACGTTCACACAATACTAGCTTTTTTTGTGAAATAAATTGAGCGTTCAATCATTTGTAATATCTATAAAAAGATATGCATTTTATTCTTTCATCGTGATTTTCATTTTTGTCGATGAGTGATGTCGATTTCCATCTTTTTAATCATAGCTGAATGTATAGTAAATAAACAGACTGAATCTCTTCTGTCTGGTGATGTTTCGTATTAGGATCAAATAGTAAAATGCACCAACCATCATGTTCATATATACCATAGGTATACGTTCAAACAAAATGAAAAAATTATAATATCCAAGAAGTAAAGAAGAACATTAATGGATTATGGTATCTTTCTTCATTGAATGAACAATCTACTTCATCTCACCGTAGAGACTTAAAGAGAAGATTGAGTTCTGGGAAGAGGTGAAACATAATTTGTGAGCGCTTTCATTGTTATTATGGAAGTGTGGAAGGACATCAGAGAGAAAAAATGTTCCCTGAAAAGCATGACTCTTCAAATGCATTCATATTCTAAATATGACATTGCACAGGTTAAACATGAGGACCTTATGCTACATGTTTATGTAGTCCCACAAACATCTCTCTGTGTACAGTGCTTGTTACTTTACCAAGACTGGGCCGATTTTTAAATAATATTGATGATTCCAAAACCTTGCAGTACAAACCAATTATGCTACATGATCAACTTTTTCTGATCGACTCTACACAGTTTCCTTCACAATGCATTCACATGACCAGAACTCAACTTTATGTTAAAAACACAATACATAGCTCTTTTAGCCTTTTTTGGAAAGCCGATGTTTTATGAAAACATTCTCCAACATTTTCGAAATAAAGCATTCGTATAGATCAGTAAGATTGAAACAAGAACCCTCAAACACACAAACAAACAAGTCAAGACAGAACAAAACTAGGTCATATTCGCATAATGCAATTTCTTCGATGCCAATGACACCATTTAAAGCATGATAAGTGCGAATGAGTTTCTAATAAGTCTGGTCTCTTATCACCTCTCATTTTTTCCACTGTCCGAATGATTATCGACCGAATTAAGAACCAACGACAGTTGTCGGTCCGAAAGCCATGGCCCTCTGCACATCGGTCCGAATCATGCCGCGGACCAATTTGCCAGGCATTTGACGCTTGGAGGCACGCTGACCAGAGCCGAGTTCTTTGGGTTACCAAATGAACTTAAACGTGTTAAAGAGGAGATTGACTTCTGGCAAAGCGTATGAATGTATCAAGTATATTTATCCTTTTATATGTCATTTATTTCATGTTTATTATGTATAATGCTGTATTTTAACCACCATGATGTATTTTACCTTGTAAATAACCATGCAATTCAGCTTCGGCTGCAAGAACGTCATGTTGAATAAACCCTTATTGACTGATTGACAAATAATATGTGATCTTACTCATACAACATCGTACTATGTAAGTTGGAAGAATATTATAATATAATTTTCCTGAAAAGGATTGCTCTTTAAATCCCCTCATTATATTACGAAAAGTAGCTGATTCGTTGAGACCAATATTTCTTAAATTTAAAGAGGACATCACATTCTGGAAAAGAAATGGATGAGCTTCTTCATTATTAGGTCAATTTGCAAGAATATCGCAGTAGAAAGATTAAACGAAAAAGATTGCTCTTAAAATGCCTTTTTATTCGAAATATGGCGATAAAAATTTTACAAAGCGAGAAAACAAGGGTTAGGACTAAACTTTCAGCATGTTCATGCTTCATACGTGTGTGTAGTCCCTTATACCCATTGTGTAGCTATGTGACTTCCAGCCAAATTTAATCATTAACAAAAAGACAACAATATTTTGATCAATCCAAAACCTCTAAGATTGCATATATTTGTATGCACTATTATAGCCGACCCTCCAATTTCTTTCCAGATAATATCTTCGACAATGTAATCCCGTGACCGGTACTCGATTTCGTCTTTAAGGACTCCAAAGACTTATTTGTGTCCCAGGACATAGGTTTTAAGCGTTTAATCACATAATGGTCCCACTCGTAGATAAATTCGCTGGTCGACCGATGACCCGAGTGTTGGCGGAAACGTTTTTACCGAATTGCGGAATGATTCTGACATAAATGGGTCCATTGAATGACGTCACACCTGATTTCATATCAGCAATGGATCTTAAGCCTCTCTATATATATATATACCAATGGAAGTCAAAGGGATAAATGGATAATAGATGTATAGATAGATATATGGATATATAGATAGATAGGTGAGGAGATAGATAAATGAATGAATAGATAGATAGATACATTTAACAACTAAATTATTCATACCCTTTGTAAATTGATGTTGTTTTTTGTTATCTCAAGAATGAAGGCAGACGGGTTGAATAAGGGCCTTTGTTGCATACTTTTAGATGTAAGCTTTTAAAATACACATTCTCAAGAAACATTAATCTTCAACCATTACTAAACTTGTTAGAAGGATGAATAGTTGAATTATTAACTGTAGATAGGTTGATAGATAGATAGAGTTGGATACAATTTGGAATGGATAGGGACAGAGGGAGGGGAAGGCAAAGACGGAGATATAAATATATATACATATATATATATAGAGAGAGAGAGAGAGAGAGAGAGAGAGAGAGGGAGAGAAAGTGTGAGAGAGAGAGAGAGGAGTGAGGAGGATGAGAGGGGAAGATAGAGAGAGAGAGAGAGAGAGAGAGAGAGAGAGAGAGAGAAAGAGATAGAGAGAGAAAGAGAGAGAGAGAAAGTGAGAGAGAGAGAGAGGGTTTTCCCATGTAAACTTGTTGCCAATTTTTGGTAAAGTTGTTGCCTGTGAATGGTAAAGTTGTTGCAAAAATGGTAAATGTGTTGCTTTTTTTACCGATTTGGTAAAGTTGTTGCCCAAAGCAACAACTTTCCATATGAAAATTGGTAAATGTGTTGTCATCACCATTGACAATACACACGAGCCTGCTCCTGCGTGTATTATCGCATAGACTTTAAAAGAGACTACCAAGGCGCTTGATGGATGCGCATGCTGCATGCATGGAGTCCTACATATATGTATGTACAGTTTGACAGAATGATGGTGTTATGGGTGAGTAATTATACTTGTTGCCTTATCATCTTTGTTGTATTGATTATCTTGACTAATTGATTGCCACTGTGACTGTGACTGTGCTGTCGTAGAACGGTTAGTTATAACACTAGTAACAGTAAGATCAAGTAATGTGTACAACTACAAGTCAATGTTAATTAAATCAGGGTAGGCCTAGCCGCCTACATACATTATTGTATGTATCTTCAATAAATTAGCCCTAGGCCTACATCATGTACATGATGTACATGTCAGATCATGCAGGTACTAATATACTATAAATACTAGTACTATAACTGTTGTTTAGTGTTACTGTGTTGTTTGATTTGGACTAGTGTAATGTTAGGTTTGTGTAGTATCTGTAGAGGGTCTAGACAAGGACAGGTACCTAATTTATATAATGTTATTAAGAAGAAATCACTGGGGGAACGAACAGCTAGCAGCTACATCATTAGACGGGGTCCAGACAACTCGCCACAAAGACATCTCAACCCTGGACAACTCGACACAATACCCTGGACATCTCGCCACAATACTCTGGACAACTCGCCATGGTCGAGTTGTCTAGGGTATTGTGGCGAGATGTCCAGGGTATTGTGTCGAGTTTTCCAAGGGCGAGCTGTCTTTAGGGCGAGTTGTCTGGGATTACTATAGGCTAGATCTACATAACATTAGTACTGATTTAGTCTTATTTCAGTAATTATATTCACATACTACAACCCTTGAAAATGTTTCCATCATGTCATAAATCCCGAACATATGCACTGGCGTAGCTAGAGTCAGAAGTTGAGGGGGGGCTAGCTGGCATCATACGGGGGCACAGGTCTAGTCAGAAAATTGAATGCAAATTTACGATCAGGGGGGAAGGGGTCTAATCGTCTTCTTTTATCTTCCTTTTCCTTTCCCCTTCTTTTTTTCTCTCTTTTTCTTTTTTCTTTCTCTTTTTTTCATTATTCGATCGGAGGGGGGGGGGGGGGGGAGGGCCTCAATCGCCTACATGTATGTATTCTAATAATAGATGCACAGACAAAGGGCTCCCCATCATACAACTACAAGACTGAAGCTTTGGTCGAGTGGGGGGGGGGGGGGGGGTCCATGGCAGTTTCTAAGGTTAAAAACTAATTTTTAAAAAGCCAACCAATCTTGTGTTTTCAGCTAATTTCTTTCACAGTACTGGTACTTTGGTTTGTTATACATCCTGATGTGGATAGTTGTGAAATTTAGAACGATAAATATCAACAATTCAAATTTTCAAGTCCATATTGTTTTGATGCTCGTGTATGGGCAAGTCCAAGGTATTTGGTAATTTTGTGTCATATGTGTTTCATAAGTTATTCTGTAAATATTGAATCAGAATCAAATTAGTCTTTGCTTGGGTAAGCAGAGCAAGTACGTTTTGAAAAGACTTTACATTTTTACATTTTAAAAACTGTATTTTTCCACTATTTGTTAGTCGCTTCTAAGAATGAAATTTCAAATCAACCCCCCAAAAAACTTCCCAAAACTAATTGTGGGGGAGGGGGCAGAGGGCCAATTGGCTCTGCTGGTTAATATAGCAGCCCTTTTACGTACCCCTTGTTTTGCAAGGGTGATCTACAGGGGTAACCTCGCTATTCATAAAACGGAAAAGGGGTCACTATTCATAAAGGCATGATTATTTATAAGGACCGCTATTCATAATGTGAGATGAGGGCAGCTATTCATAATTCACATTAAGGGTCATTACATAGTATACAAATAATGAATGGTTATGAGTTCAATAGTGCGAATATGTTCATGAGTTGAAAGATTAACATTCTATTCAACGAGGCGTCAGCCGAGTTGAATAGAATTAACGTTAATCTTTCAACGAATGAAAATATTTGCACTATTAAACGAATGAAAAACATTCATTATTTGTTTTATACAACATCGAAGAAGACCTAATAGAACGTTAATCAACAAATTATGCTTTACTCCTTATAAAGATAAATTAAAGTTCGAGTCAAGCCTTTTCGATTACATGCAGATTGCCTTCGCGTCAGATACACGCAGGGATACGCGCACTATTCATAACACGGGAACAGGGTTGCTATTCATAATACTAGAAGAGGGTCGCTATTCAATTCTATGAGAAGAGGGTTGCTATCCATAATACGAGAAGAGGGTCGCTATTCAATTCTATGAGAAGAGGGTTGCTATTCATAATACGAGAAGAGGTCGCTATTCAATTCTATGAGAAGGGGTTGCTATTCATAATACTAGAAGAGGGTCGCTATTCAATTCTATGAGAAGAGGGTTGCTATTCATAATACTAGAAGAGGGTCACTATTCAATTCTATGAGAAGAGGGTTGCTATTCATAATACGAGAAGAGGTCGCTATTCAATTCTATGAGAAGGGGTTGCTATTCATAATACGAGAAGAGGGTCGCTATTCAATTCTACATGTATGAGAAGAGGGTTGCTATCCATAATACGAGAAGAGGGTCGCTATTCAATTATATGAGAAGAGGGTTGCTACATGTATTCATAAACATGAGGAAGGTGCGCTATTTATAATACGAGGAGAGGGTCGCTATTCATAATATGAGAAGAGGGTCGCTATTCATAATATGAGAAGAGGGTCGCTATTCATAATATGAGAAGAGGGTGGCTATTTATAATACAAGAAGAGGGTGGCTATTCATAATACGAGAAGAGGGTAACTATTCATAATATGAGAAGAGGGTCGCTACTCATAATACAAGAAGAGGGTGGCTATTCATAATACGAGAAGAGGGTAACTACCCATAAGGACCAAGAAGAGGGTCGATATTCAATTCTATGAGAAGAGGGTTGCTATTCATAAACATGAGGAAGGGGCGCTATTTATTTGTATTGAGGGTCCGTACCCATAAGGACCGAGAAGAGGGTCGCTATTCATAAAACAAGAAGAGGGTCGCTACTCATAATACGAGAAGAGGGTCGCTACCCATAAGGACAGAGAATAGGGTTGCTATTCATAATACAAAAAGAGGGTCGCTATTCAATTCTATGAGAAGAGGGTTGCTATTTATAAACATGAGGAAGGGGCGCTATTCATAATTTGTATTGAGGGTCACTATTCATAATACGAGAAGAGGGTGGCGATTTATAATACGAGATTATCAAGATTTTTGGCCAAATAAGATATGATTTTGTGACCGTCACGCCATATGCAATCAGTGCTGGCGTCCCCTGTATTATGTCTTTCTTTAAAGGTAAAGACCAGTAATGGTCATGCGATTGCATTGTGAAAGAAACGTTGTGGAATCGATCAGAAAAGGTTGATCATCTAGCATCTAGCATCTGCAAGGTTCTGGAATCATCAAAATGATAGGAAATTTGGCCCATTTGTCGTAAAGTTACAAGCACTATACACAGAAAGATGTATATGGGACTACCCTTTATCTCTCACCAGACCATGAGAGAAACAAATTTACCAAATATATGAATTAGTAGGCGGTTTCCCGGCAAATTTGTTATCATCATGTATTAGTCAAAACATATTCTTTCACATGATTGGTAATGAGAGCTTCCATTTCATTTTTTGAAATTGGGGCGTTTCCAATACTGGTCTTTACCTTTAAAAGTATATATTACCTTTTATCTTTGATAATTATATAGAGACATCCTCATAACCTAGCTAATATATTTGCCCCACTTCTGTGATGACAAAAATAAAGTAAAGCATAACAACTTATCCTATCATAATTTGTCCCCATTGTGAGAAATCTTGCCCCACCACTCTGCCCCTTACTGATCTTATCCTGGCTACGCCACTGAGACATTAAGTAGAACAAGCAGGCCCATGCTATTTTAGAAACTAGTAATTGTTTATACAGCAATGTTTTAGTAGGAAATGGTTTTAATAGGACCTATGGACGTACAAATTATATAGCCTTAGCCATATGTCATATCCAGTGCCAAAAGTCAAGGACAGGCACCCAGAAGCTTTTCAATTTTCGCCAATGTAGAGTTTCAAGATTTTCAATACATACACCTGTACCTCAGGATACTAGTACCGGTAATCATACTAATTAACCTAACTCTATTCATCCACAATCTTGATTTCCTGAAACTTTCCTAACACCAAAAACATTAGGAGTTGGACTGGACCAGAAGCTAAGTAATTCCCTGTAGAGAGTCGGGGAGGGGGGGGGGGGGCACTTTGATATTGTGTTTTGTTTGGGGAAAAGGGGGCTTGAACACTTTTGGACCTTTGAGGTTTTTTGCAGTAATGCAATCTGAATATAAACCAAACATTTACTGTCTTTTTTTGTTGGGTGGGGGTGGTGATGATGATGGGTAAGGAGGTCTGATATAAGGTCTAGTTCAACAACAACAACAACAACAAAAATATGTGAGAAATTTGGTTATGTTATTATTTTGGGGGTGGGATATCTAGCCCTTGTAGCAACAAGGGGGCAGGATATAATGATAAATACAGAACAAAAACAGGAAAAATATGGAATGTAAATACAAATATGCGTGCAGGTTCAGAAAAAGTTTAACATTAATCAATTTGAGACATGATAAATTCAAAGCAAACACGGAAAATACACGCAATAATTAATCAAATCCATTTCTGCATGCATTCTGGTTCACACACGATATATAAAGAATCAATAACTTTAAACAGCCAAACCAAAATATAAAATTACAATAAAGTGAACAAACCAAACGAGGTCGACATAAATTGTCATGAAACAAGATAGATAATTGCAGAACAAACACATCATTACATATGAAATATCCCCTGCCCCCTGCCCTGCCAATGATGACAACTCGGACATTCAGATGTCAGACATTTATATTTATTTCCGGGGGGCTGATTGATGATTGGGGGCCCGGGATGATGGGTTGTTTAGATTACTGGGGCATGCCTTTTTTCTTTAATTGTTCAGAAATGTATGTTTTCAATATAAGTTTTCAACAAATATTCAGGGCCATGAGCCGCCCCCTCCCCCATAGCTTTACCATAGCCGTGGGGGTGTCCCCC